TATGAAGGAGTAAAAAGTAAAACTAAAAAATATAGTTAGCATTTTTATATTTTTTTTATGTTTACTTGCGGAAATTGCGTAAGAACTATCAAGAATTTTAAACTGAAGTTTGTAAAAAATGTTTTTACATGAAAACATTTTTTTTTTTTTGAATTTCAAATCATCAAACGTTTGCCTAGAGAAACTGTGAGCAATTAGGTTAAAATCGATGCAGCTAATTTTGATGAATTTCTTTACAAATTAAATATCAGTTTCTTAATTCTGAGATCAAAGCAAGGCATAAAGAATATTTATGGAAAAACTTGTTTAATTAAAATTTTTGAAATGCAAGAACGGGTTATTGCCAAAAGTAGAATTAAAATTTTAGTATTCAAATTCTAATTAAAAATAAATAAAAAATATTTAAATATTAAAATAAAAACACAATACACGGAATTTGAGGAAAATGAAAAAAATTAATGTTAAGAAAAAATCGTATGCACGCATTTCTTTTTAAAGAAAATTTAAATTTTTATGTTATTTTTTTATTTTTTATTTTTTTTGAAAGTCTAATGCAGTATGAAATTATGTACTACTAGCTTTTTTTCTTTAAAACCTTCACGCATTTTTCAACACACTCTTTATATAATTTAATTGCTTCACAACCTTCATGCATTTGAACGATTGATGTTTGGTAAAAATAAATAAATTTGCCAATTCGATGTGCACACATATGTACATACATACATACATATGCATAATTGGACATATAAACATCTAAACAAAAGCCAGTTAATAAGCAAATGCAGAGACAAGTAAACAAGCAAAGTAGCTAACGAGCATGACAAACAATAAATTAGAAGTAGCAAAAAAATTGGAAGAAAAAAATAATTATAAATAAGCCAAAAAAGATAGAAAAAAAGTGTAATAAAACAAAGCAGAAATGTATGTAATGTTTTTTTCAAAATCGCATTCTATTATCCTTAAAGAAAAAATAAAAACTTAAAATAAATAATTTTTAATAAAAGTTTTCTGAAAAGCGAAATTTCTTTTGAAGCTTTAATAAGATATAAAATATTAAAGAATCATGAATTTGTTTTTCAAATTAATTTAAATAAAAATAGGGTTTGGCTTAAATTAATTTTCTTAAAATAGATTAAGTTTTACCAACATTTTTTTTTTTAATTTTTCAAAAATACAAAATTTCCTATCAGCATTAGATCAACTTAAAAAAAAAAGCATAAAAAATATATGTAAACATATTTTTTGAAACATACATATAACCTTCATATATTTTTTTTATTTTAGCAGAACAAAATAACAAAAGTAATTTTTTTTCCCCCCTTAGTTTTAATGATTAATTTGTTTCATAGTCTTAAAAATATAAAATGTAAAAATAATAAATGTTTGCGTATTTTTTTGAAGATTCTTGATTAACAAATTCCAACAAATGCCTTCAAACTCAAGTTCTCAACCATAAAGGAAAACTCAATGTAAACAAAAATAAAGCAAAGCCATTTATAATCATGTGCGCATAAAATTTATTCACACAAAAATATTCGCCTATAAAAGCTATGCTAAACAAATACGTAATTTGAATGCGTGATGAACTATTGTAAAACAATGGGGAAGCTAACATTTTTATGTATGTAATTATGAAAATGATATCATCAAAGCACCAACATATACATATCTGTGGAATTTAATATATTTGCTAGAGATTTTTCACTACACAAATAGTTGACTAAGCAGATGTACTTGGAACAGCCATTAGACTGGCGGTTGTAATAAGGAAAATGTGTCCTATAAAATGTTGAGGCTCTTTAGGGGTATGTATGTACATACGATATAACAGAATAAAAATGTATATACTTTATTTAATAACTCTAAAAAAAACACATAAAATATTACCGCCGCGAAATCGCTAACCGAATTCTCCCAACCTCTCTATCAGCTTCGTTCTTAACACCCAAGTACGCTCAGATGTTAATACGTATATCTGTAGCTTCAATGGCAAGCTAGCATTTTATTAAACAAAACAGCCGCGCATCATTATGCGTTATAAACATTTATAACTGCCAGCTTGATTAGTTAATTGCTTCCTTCGGCATGCCGCGACCGAGCGATCCACCAATCAAATGGCAGCGACAGAGTTGATGATACGCGCGCATATACAGCGGCGGCTAGTCGGTACTAAAAAGTTATGTATGTAGATTTTTTAATAGAATAATGACTAACACAAAGCTACTAAATGTAAGGAAGGAAAAAAAACTACACAGCAAGAATTAAATTAATAAAGGAAAAAGTGGCGGAAAATATCATTAAACAGCAGGCAGGCAGCTTAATATTTTTTTGCGTAGGTTTTTTTTTTAAGTTTTTCTATTTGATGAACCACAACCCCTTTGTATT